GAATTTCCCCATGAGGCTTGCAGTTCAAAGAACACTCTTTGGGCGACTGTTGCCATAAAGTGTTAATTCCTTATACTGCAGACTCAAACGCTACAATACCTATTTTTACTGCTGCTTTTCTTCAGACAAATGTATTAGTGTTATTTTTTTAAGTCTTGGCTCTTTGCTAAAAGCTGGGCACTGCCAGAACAGCTTACTTGAATGCACAGGAAAATCCCCCTTGCAAGCAGTTGTTTTATATAGTTTGGTCTGCAGAGCAGAGATTTCACTGTGGCCCCATCAATTTCTCCTAATGCTGACCAATTTTGTCTTATTTTAGTTTATTAAAAATATTACATTTTGAAGTTGGGCAATATAGATAGGACAAGCTTGTGTACTCTTTGGAGCTACTTGCTAATATCAGAAATTCAAAGATAGGAATGACCTGCATGGCTGAAAGATTTCATTTGCAAAGTAAGATCAACTTAAATTTTTTATATAGTTGATGTGCAGGCCCCAGCTGTGCCTGCTGTTCACATTGGCTGCTAACTGCTTTGCAAACCTTTGAACTGAAACTCTGCTGAAATTAATTGCTATAACTTCGAAGGTACACTTTTGTTCTTGTTGTTGCTATATATTTCTGCCCACACTGTTCTCCTGCTCTGGGTGTATATATACACTCACTAAGCTCCAGTGTGCTGTTCTTATGTTCCAAAGGGAGCAGGCTGAAATGACAGTCATGTTTTCTATTCCAACGTAGGAAGGAAGAGGGAAGACGGCAGTGTCACAAAGTTGTATTGTTTGTGGTTTCCAAGGCAAGAGGGGCTTGATTTGAGTGGGTAGGAGGGTGGAGAAGATGGAGCGTATGCACGACTCTTCATAAATTCTATCCTCTAAACTGGAAGGAAATATGTGCGATAGACTTTGATAATTGTAAGAATCCTAGATGCTCTTCAGTGAAACCAAGACCATGTTCACAACTGAAAACGTTTGAAACCAGCCTTGCAGCATTGTGAGGAGTAACAGTTTTTTTATTTCTGGAAAGCACTTGAAATCTAACCTGAGGTCACAAGTGAAATTAATTAGATGTTCACAAGCTCATCATCTATCAGATTGTGGTCTAAATCAGAGAATTGCCTCACACAGATACACTACAAGACATCAACAAGAAAACAATCTAAACTTGGAGGAGCCAGTGTAGCTACCAACCCAGCTATATCTGGGACAGAAGGTCAAGTTGCCAGTAGGATTTGGGCTTATAGCAATGCTCTTGCTGCAATGCAGTACTTGGGGAATGCTACGCTGTCAAAGGTGCTGTCCATCAGATGATGTATTCAACTTGGGGCTCTTCTGTTGGTCTCTGTTGATAATTAAAACTCCTATAGCATTTACCACAGAGGACAGGGAATAACTTTGGTTCTTCTCCAATATTCCCCGTTAACAAAATAGGTTCTAAATGTGTGAGATATTGTTAAGCATATAAAGGTTCCTCCATTTACTTGCAGACATTAGCCTACTTGTAAAGGGTTTATTTTATTTTTATTAAAACAGGCACTATATAAGACCAAACCCTATACATTTCTAAAATGTTCTTTTTCAGGCTTTGGGTTTACCCTCTAAGCGTGTACTGCAGTTTTCTGTATTATCTGGTTAACATGCCTTGTAAAGTCATTTCGAAAGGCTTTAAAAGCCCTTTATTTCACACTTTTGTGAAGCATATACTATAACTATGGCGATATTTGCTTGACAGTTTTGATTGTGCCCTAATGGGTATATTCTTATCTTAAGGTTTTGGGAACTAAGCCACTATCCAAATGAGAACATAGCTCTTTAATGTTTTAACTAAACATTTTAGCAAGCAAGTGTTTAAATGCATCTGAGTCAGCTGCGAGGGATGTCCATTGTCTTCAAGAAATCTACACAATGTAAAACTGTAGCATCATGCTATTTGACAAAATCTTTGATCAATACATTTGATGCAATTTAGCTTGTGCCAACCTCTGTAGTTTGCATTTTGAAACAGCCGTGTTTTCAAGAGTGATTGACAGACTTTGAAGAGGACATTTAACACCAATTATGAGGGAAATCCTGCCCCTCCTGAAGTCAATGGGAGTTTTGTCACCGACAAACCTTCAATGGGCCAGGATTTTCACTGTATGGATTTATAAGATTTAGAAGCAAGAGTTCCATACACTACACTTGAAATGAGGCTCCTTTTAACTGCACAGGGATGCCACAGAAACACCAGCACAGTGGCATGCAAAAGTAGGCAAGGCATGCCTTCCTTTCTGTTTGATGTAACTAAGTGAAACAAGCCTGAAAAGGTTAGTGTAATTTTTTATACAATTTTCTCCCTATGAATCTCAAGTGGCCTCTCATCACAGGTCTCAGACTCCAAGGGGATGGACCATCTGTGATGCTGTTAGTATTATGTACCATTAGAACATAGCCATTAAGTAATTTGCACCAATTCACACTGAGTATCATGTGGGAGATAACGTGCTTATGTAATTAACAAAGCACAAATATACCATCCCTTATCTCAATCTCTCTCTCATTTGGCTTTTCCCCCCCTCTCAGCCTTCATTCATGCTCTTGTAGTCTATATGCCACAGAAATCCCTCCCTTGATCCCCTCTGCCTTTTCAGCTGCCTCTGCCCTTTTACCTCCAAGATTCTAGAGTGTGCCCCTCATACCACTGCCTTGAAGTTCCCTCCCTCACCAAAACCTTCTAATCCAACTTCTGTCATTCAGTGTAGCTGCCCTCACTAACACTATTACTAGCCTTTTCCTGACCAACTTCCACCACTGCACCCTCTTCCATCTGTGCCTTCTGACAGTCATTCACTCCCTCATGAACTTGTTCTACCCTTGGAAGTCATAACCCTGTTTCCTCCCCTCTATACCTTTGTTTCCTTTACATGTTCACAAGCCAGTTCTTTCTATCCCCCTACCATAAAAATCCTTATCTATGGCTTGCCTCACTTCAACTTGCATTCAGATCACGGTATATCATGCATTCCCTCCTCTCTCCAGGCTGTACAAAACACTGCTGTGCTCTAGACAACATTTCAATGACAGTACTATTAGGCTTTGTATTAAATGTCCCCACGCACAAATTTGATCATTTACATTATTCTGAACTGCAACTTTTTTCATGTAAAACTAGGCTTCATATGGGATCTCACCTCTGAGTTAAAGGTGTGGATTCATGTCCAATCTAGGACTTGGATTTATATTCCTAATCAGTACCAACACTGCAATACATGTATAAGCCTTTGGATCCTTCTATATTCTACCCTTTTCTGGTGGTTGTCCATGCTAAGGATTCTATAATACTTTACAAAGGTGTAGGGGAAATTCCATTCCATCTCTCAATACCATTGATTATAAAGGTAAGAGCTATCGCTAAAGACAAAATGGTTCCTCCATTTGCCTAATTTGTCTCCGCACCACCAGCAAGTAATTAGTTGATTTGTAAAGTAGTTTTGGTGTAAAAAATGTACTATAGAAATTTTAACCATTCTATATGGTGCACACCACATATAAAACCAGATATTAAATTACCCAAGAAAGAAAATATTACATTGCTGCATAAATGACAAATATTGATCATTTCGCATCAGTATGAAATCATGCCAAATCATAAATAATAAAAGTGCTTGAATATAGGTATATAGCAGGCAGTAAGCAGATTTACCACATAATTAAAGTGCTTAAGGCAAAATACAGACTTCTGGTATTTTCTAATTTCTAGTAAATCACCATGAGCTGGTAAATTCTGAGATCACTTAATTTAAAAGTATATTTACAAGCTAAATCTAACTGTAGTCTTTATTCTGTAAAGTAAACAGCAAGGAAACAGTGTGCATCTAATTTTTGAAATTCTTCTGGCTTTTCTTTTTGACCTTTGGTATTTGTATGTATCGACGCTTTCTCTAAACCATTGTACAAAAACACCTTGAAGTGTCAAGCTTTAAAAATGAGTCTTCGTTTCTCTTTCTCCTGTGCAGCTTGGATTATCTTGGCCTTGTCAAAATACATTCTCTAGTTAGAGGTTGAAAATATTTCCCTCCTGGCTCCTAAGTATTGATTTTTCAACACTCAACTCTGTCTGTCAGCTGAAGAGGTGAAAGGTGAAAGTTCATCCAGCACTGCCTGGCTTTACCTTCCTATTAATGTCATGCCCTTTCCACATTTGATCAGTTTATGTGATCACCAACACAACTGTTATTGAGCATATTTTACCTGTGAGAAAATATTTAAGTCATGAATGATTTTAAAACATACACACACCTTGAAAATTGAGGACTCAAATATGTTGCAACCAACTCCTTTTGTGTTTATCTATTTTTTTGAAGTCTTGTTATGTAAATGATTGACTCAATTCAAACTGTACTATCTTATCTGAACACTAAGAGAAAGATTACATTTACTGCTTATGCTGTAAACCTTTTTAAGCAATAATGATCAATTTTGTTATTCTTGCTCAAATGCAAGCATGCTTTTTTACTAGGAGGGAGGGATGCAAATTCAAATCCAAACAAAGTATTACATTAAACAAATTTAATAATCTCAGCTCAGCTCCCAATGGACAGTAGTCCATGTCAGAAAATCTCGATGCATAATTTGGTTCAATTACTCTCCCTCTTAAAAGAGATCTAGGACTGGAATAAAAAGAAGAGAGCATAGCTTTACACATATTACAGAGCGGGTTGTTGAGGTTCTGGAAGATCATCATTATCTTTAACTGGTTGACTCACACTGTTCTCATAAACAGAAGAGATAATCGTTTTTCCTCAGCACTTTCCGACTTCTTTTTTTGTTAAGGAGGCCTTGAGTCTCTTGAACATGAATCTTCATCCAACTTAGTGAAATGTAACCTTATTCAAATAAATGTAAGAATTTATTTCTGTGCATGATAAGAAAAATACAAATGAATGTCAAGTAAGTCATGGAACTAAGGATGCATTTGTGTGTGATCACATCACAGTTAGGATGATAATATAGGAACAATATCCTTCAATACTATTCAGTTTTTATTTCACAAACATATGTACATAGCATTAGTACATACAGTAGCATTTAAGTGGAATCATCAAGAAATTTCTTGAGAGGCAAACATTTTCATCATTTACCGTACACAGTGACTTCAATCATTACAATATTTTCATACAGTTATCTCATCATGTCATCTTTAGCTTGTAAACCGCCAATAAAGCCACATATGTCTCCACATTTACAAGGACAAGTCCAAATACAGTACTAACAAATCAATAAAATACTAAAAGCTTACACTGGAATGACAACACAAATTTTACTGCAGTGCTGAGAAATCTAATCTGTGATGAAATTTGGGAGTAGGGTTGACAAAGTCACTGAAATGGAGATTTGTGTTTAACTAATGTGCAAATATTAGTTAAGCAGTTAGATAATCTATTTCCACCCACTAAGCATTACTGCATTTTCTAGCCAAGTAACACAAACTCCACATTAAATTGTAATCCTGACTGTTGCTCTAGATGTATTGTATAAAACATTTGCAGAAGTTGTCATAATCTTGTGAACATTTTGCTAATTTAGCTTTTGCTACATTTAACTATTGTTCAGTACTGGAAGTAGATTGCCCCCTTTCTTTCACAATTTTTTGTAATCCATTAAATTTTTAGTTTAAAGCAAACTTTTTATTACACATGTAATTTTACTGCATACTAAAGAAAATCTTCTTTAGCATACCCATTGCTACTGTGTTTCCATTTAGCTTTTAAAAGTAAACATATATGTACTTGAAAAATATTATAACATAAGTAAATATGACTTTGGAATGCCTATGGAAGAATGAATAAAATGTACTTTATAATTTGCCACATATGCCTATACTTAAATGTAGCACTATAGCATTTGATTCTACAGACAAATAGTGTATATGCTGTGTAATTCTTTGCTTCTTGTCATGGAGACCTACATATCTCTCTCTTTATAAATACAATGTACATGCATGTTGTATAAGTTTACTTTAAAGAAAAGCATCAAAAATTCTAGTACAGAATTTTACCACCACTATATACTTCAGCCTTGCCATACTTAGAAAGAATAAAATTTACAGCAATATGAGATAAACATTCCTAATGGTCTTAATTTCTTACTTTGTTTGTAAAAACTATAGTAAACAACAGATATGTTGATTCTGGACTGTAGATCCTACTTTCATGTATAGTGTACTATACAGACTGCCTCTAGAAAAAAATCCATTTGAAATTTAAAAGCCATTATTTTCTTTGTTCATTTATTCCCATTCTGTTGGATTTTCTGGCAAGTACCACCTTTAACTTTATATGTCATCATTTAATGTGAGCCTTCTCTCTTTTGTGAGCTTTCCAGACAAAAATGGCAAAGAAAATAAAAGCTGTACAAACACTTATATCGATACATTTAAATAAAATAGTATTTTATGGATTTTTTTTTACTTTATGCATAAACCAGCATATTTTTCACATTATTACATATTTCACAAAATTAGATATGTAAGAAAGAAGGAAAATGTGAACAATTACAACATTACAGAAGAATTCTCTTACTGGGGAAAATGTTTAAATATATTGGATTCAAATACCAATGAACTCACCTTTTACTTATTTTCCATAATTTTTGAGTTGCTCAATATCAGCGATATCTGTGTTTTCATCAAGTGTATTTGCATTTTTACTCAATCCTTCAATGAAGCCAAACTGTGAGTTTGCAACACTGCAATAATGTATACAGCAACAGGATGTGATGGCATAAATGCAGGATTCTCATTTCCCTGCAAGTTCCAGCACAAGTGGGAAAGAGAATGCTCTTTTTAAAATATAAATATCTGCAGTGGAAGCAAAGGGAATACAGAAAAAACACACCTTTGTGCATAAGTATTCTTTTTTTCAAGTTTCCTTTTCCCCTCTTTAAGAGATTCTTGGTATTTACATGTGGACTGCTCAATTCTTTCTTCCAGGTCACAAAAACAATGACCTAGTATGCCATAACTTCCAATTCAATCAAGAATTTAAACTTTATATGAGGAAATATGCTTCTTCAAAATGAGAACAAAGGCTACTCTTGTCCTGAAAACCTAATTCCTCATATACTTGCTCATGAATCCCATGCCAGTTATCCCCAAGAGGCTAACTGCTAAAGCCTATGACACCTCACCCAATGATCACCCCTTAGTCACTAGAAGAAAGTACATGTAAACATGGAACCTTTTTGGTAAACAGTAAGATTCTTTAAGAACTTCAAAAGGAAAATAATATTTATAATTAGGACTGCTCTGCATTACTTCAATCTAAAATGTAAAAGTGACTTGATTCAGCCCAACTTCAGAAAAGGCTGATCTAGTCAAGGAGTGCAACCTCAGTGTTATTGATTTTTTTCAGCTTCTGTTGCACCAAGCAACAAGAGCATTCCCAATAGCCATCTTCGTCCCTCCTATCAACGGCAAGGAAAAACTACATGATGATAGAATAACCACACTTGGTTGAGCTGGTGGGCATACCTCTGAATCAATAGCTGGCACAAGCAAGATTCAAATGCTCTAGGGAACCATGCAGAAATGTTGCAGTCTGGCTGGTCCCACTGGATGATTTATATAGGCACTGGTGTAGGTAATCCAGTGTTACAAAAGAACAGAGAAAGAGAGAATTATAGGGAATTTTACAACAAAAAATGTATTTCTAGCAATAGAGAGCCTGACTCTAGACCATAAATCGATGTTCTTTGCCATCATGCGCCATAAGAATAACATTGCGATTGGAAGTCCAGATCAGCCGTGCCAGTTTGAGTGCATTGTGTGAACCTGGTGAGGCAGGCTGGACAGGAGGCACCTGGTATGTTTTAATACAGCGGAGCTGAGGTGCAGAATTCAGCATTCCAATACTTCCCAAAAGAGAGGTGTTCATCTGCAGTAATAGAAAAAGAGAGAGTCAACACTGAGATCAAAGGGTTTCTTGTGAAGAATAATTTAAGGTGAAACAAAGCCTTTTCTCTTTGGTATTTACAGAAAACTTTTAATAATACCTGCCAGTACCAGCAACATGGCTGCCCTCTCTAATGACCTTCAATTAAAATTTTATTTAGTCCACCGAAAAACACTGTTTCTTAAACTAAAGAGATGCTGAGAATCTAAGCAGTATGTTTACAAATGCTTAATTAACTCTATACACAACTCTGCAAAATGAAACTAGTTGTGCTAAATTTAGTAGTACCTTTACTGCTTTCCTTTTTCCTACAGAACTGTAGACTTTACATTATCTTAAACGACACTTTTATAGCCATATGTAGTGGGGGGGCGGCTGCCCCACTCCCTGAATTTGGGCTGCAGTAGGCCAGTGGGCCTCCACAGACAGGGAGTCAATCAGGGAAGGCCTTATAGGGAGTCAATCAGGGCCCAGATTGGAGGGAGCCAATCAGGCCAGGCTCAGCCCTATAAGAAGGCTGCTCAGGACAGGAGCAGGCAGTCTGTCCCAGGCCTTTGCCAGGGGAAGGTCTGTCTCCAGGTTGGGAGACTAGCACCCGGGACAGCGCAGTGCTGGGCAGGCCCGGGGGAGCAGAGGGTAACTCCAGCCTGGAGTCTGTCAGGCTGCAGGCCCTGAAGGGAAGAGCCTAGCCAGTGCGAGGGGCCAAAGGGGAAGCGGCCCAGGGATGTGGACAGACGGAGGGAGAGAAGAGGGCAGGATGGCTGCCACTAGAGGGTCCCTGGGTTGGGCGGGCCTGGGTCCCCCCCCTGTCCCCCTTGCCTTGCACCCGGCCGCCGGAGCAGCCATCTAGAGCTGCACCAAAGCTCTGCCAAGAAGGGAGTGACTTTGAGGGTGCAGCTGACCACATCAGCCAGGACGCAGAGAGGCAGCTGATTGATCCCCCCAGAAGGGGGTGAGGATGGACTAAGAGGCACTGCCGGAGGGCAGCGTCTGGAAGAGGACGCCGCGAGCTTGGGAGCAACGCGGGTCCAGACACGCCAATCAAGGGCGAGATGATGGATGGGACACCAGCAGGAGGTGGCGCTCCACTGGACAGAGCTAATTCCCGAGACAACCAGAAGGAGGCGCCAGGTGGTGAGTCCCAACCCCGTCACACCATATTTTAAAAAGTTCTCCTCCCTTTTTTACCTGCAAGACATGATGAAAATGTTTTTTTTTAAATTGGACTAAATGGAGGAATAAAATACAGCCAAGTTTATGGTTTTTGTAAGTTACAATCTTTTGCAAGGCATGGAAACTCAGCAAAGTTTAGAAACAGAATTAGTGGTAAAAAATTAATTCCAGTCTCACCATTTGCCTTTTTAAAATTTCCACTTTCCTTTAATTCTATCTACTTCAAATTAAATAGTGAGATCTGAACCAATATATTAGCTTAAACCTATAATGAAGTCTATAATGAAGTCTATCACTTAACATATTAAAAAGTATCATCTACAACTTCTTTATATTCATTTAACACAATATCATTTCAGAACTGCAATAAGTAATCAAAAATTACAACTGTTATATTTCTGCTGGAATATAGATTTAAACATGTTAAAAATCACAAAAATTAGAGATGGAAAAGACCTTTTGGATGCTGGAGTATATCTGCATGACAGAACAAGGGTGGTCCCAATGCCATAACAGAACTCATGGAGGACAGGTGAATTTCCAGAGGACTGGAGAAGGGCAAACATAATACACCCATCTTTAAAAAGGGGAACAAAGAGGGCCCAAGGAATTACAGACCAGTAACCTAACTTAGTTACTTGGAAAAATACTGGAACAATTTGTAAGCATCTATAGGATAATATGGTTATAGGAAATAGTCAACATGGATTTGTCAAGAACAAATCCTGCTGACCCAATCTAATTTTCTTCTTTGACAGTGTTACTGTCCAAGTGGATGGAGGGAAATAGTAGATGTGATATATTTTGACTTTCATAAGGCTTTTGACACAGTCCCACATGACATTCTCATAAGCAAACTAGGGAAGTGTGGTCTAGATGAAATTACTAATAAGGTGGGTGCACAGGTGGTTGAAAGACTGTACTCAAAGAGTAGTTATCAATGGTTTGCTGTCAAACAGGGAGAGCATATCTCTAATAGGGTCCCACAGGGGTCAGTCCTGGGTCCAGTACTAGTCAATATTTTCATTAATGACTTGGATAATGGAGTGGAAAATCACAGAATCATAGAATATCAGGGTTGGAAGGGACCTCAGGAGGTCATCTACTCCAACCCCCTGCTCAAAGCAGGACCAATCCCCAGACAGATTTTTGCCTCAAATCCCTAAATGGTCCCCTCAAGGATTGAACTCACAACCCTGGGTTTAGCAGACCAAGGAGCTATCCCTCCCCCTCCATGTGCTTATACAATTTGTGGATGACCCCAAGCCGGGAGGGATCACAAGTACTTAGAGGCCAGGATTAGAATTAAAAACAACCTTGACAAATTAGAGAATGAGAGAGTTGTCTGAAATCAACAACATGACATTCAGTAAAGATAAGTGCAAAGTACTTCACTTAGGAAGGAAAAATCAAATGCACAACTACAGAATGGGGACTAGCTGGCTAAGTGGTAGTACTGCTGAAAAGGATCTGGGAATTATAGTGGATTACAATCTGAACATGAGTCAATAATGTGATGCAGTTGCAAAAAAGGCTATTATTATTCTGGGGTGTATTATCAGGAGTGTCATATGTAAGACATGGGATGTAACTGTCCTGCTCTATTTGACACTGGTGAGGCCTGGACTGGAGTACTGTGCCCAATTCTGGCATCACACTTTAGGAAAGAGATGAATAAATTGGAGGAGAGCAACAAAAATGAGAAAAGGTTTAGAAAACCTGTATCTAAACCGGATTTCTATACAATAGGTAGATGATGGTCCAGCTCGATACCTAGGACTGGGCACATGAAACCTGGGCAAATCTTAGGACATTTAAGATGTGTTATTGCTGACACCATGTTCTGAATTCTGATCAGTACAAAATATAAGCCATTACTTTTTCTAGTCCTTCTCAGCAGCAGAATGGTGTCAGAGAGTGTAAATCATGGCATCTCTAGCAGGGAGCATGCAAGCACCACTGACATTTTCACAATTTAAATCATCTTGAGTAATAACCCTTTTAAGATGACTAATGTTACTGATTTTCCTGCATTAATAATAGTGCCGAATAGAACACAGAGGGGAAAAAAAATCACTAGTGCACGAGGTCACATTTTAAAACTAAATGCATAGGTACATTTAACTCTTTATGTAAAAGCCAGTTTAACATGGATAGATTTACACACAGTAAAATCTGGCAATTCACATTTTTAAACCTGTGCCTGAATATGAAGTGTTTTTTTTTAAGTGAGGTCCCTTTTCTATGATTCTATGTAAAAGATCAAAATCAATAAGCCTGATTGCTTTCCCAGGTAGTTAAACTAAGTATATGTACTGATGGTTGAACATTTTACTGTTCTTATTCACTATTTCAGAAAGCACAATATATGATGGATAATAATTCAGTACATTTTATGGCCTGTACCGTATTACTGAATGACATACAGAAAATTGTGGAAAATTAAAAAAACATTAACTAACATCTGCAGGCATACTGGGTCCAGTCTTGTAGTCTTACTGCTGGCAAAACTCCCAATGTCTTCAATGCGTATTTTGCCTGCATGAACTGCAGGATCAAGCCCACTATTTTTCAGATAACTATTATTTAAGTTTATAATTTAAAAACTTTTACATCCTTTGGCCATTTGAGTTGGTTTTCCTATGTAAATGCATACATTTTAAAACTCTTAATGACATGTAAGGTACAGATGATCGTTAATTTCTTAAAAATATGAATGGAAACTAAATGTAAAGCAATTAATACCTCAATACATTAATGCCAATGTCTTTTTCTTTTAGAATTACATATGAATTGATTGCACAAGAAAGCTAGGGACAGGTTATGCATAAATGAGGGTTGTGCTGTACACATTTCCCCATCCAGCTTTACCAACAAACCTTTACCCTGACTTGTTATTTCCTTCCTGTTGTCTTTTGGGTTCTGCCAATCATGCTAAACTGAGTGCTGATGTTTTGCTACGATCAAAGGGGAACTAAACTGCAACTACTAAAATCCTTTATACTGGTGACCTGAAATAGAATTTGAACTCTTAGCTCCAGAGAAAAAAAGGGATAGAGCAACCCAAATCTACCCCATCACCTAGCCCAACTGCAAAGTCTAAGGAAAAAAGTCTCAAGATATAAAGCTCAACTTTGCATAGTGATCTGTTCATGTGCCCTTTTCAGGATAAAAAAAACATAAGAAAGAAAAAGATTGTTCCAACTATTAATTTAAACTCGAAAGGGTAGGGATGTGGTCATCCTGCTTTTTATAAAGTGCACAGCTCACTTTTGGCACTATATAATATAAATATATATTAACAATAATAAGAATTTTGATTAAAATACTGAGATCAAATTCTCAAGCCTTAGCATAAAAATTAATTTAAAGGAAATAAAAACAAACAAACACCCGAAACACCTGCTTAGAGGGCTTACTCACTAAGTGCAGGCTCTTATTTGGTCAACCATCAATGTACCCTTACATCTACAAGACATCAATACACGCTATAAAAGTATGGGTATTTTATTAAGAATATAGTATTAGTCCATAAAGTTCCAAACTTCCTAATGTTCTCGAGTTACCTAGAGGTTACACATTTTTTGTGTGCACATGAACAGCAAAAAACACAGTACAGTAACTCCTCGCTTAACGTTGTAGTTATGTTCCTGAAAAATGCTACTTTAAGTGAAACAATGTTAAATTAATCCAATTTCCCCATAAGAATTAATGTAAATAGGGGGGTTAAGTTCCAGGGAATTTTTTTTTGCCAGACAAAAGAGTCAGTCAGTCAGTCAGTCAGTCAGTCTCTCTCTCTCTCTCTCTCTCTATATATATATATATATATATATACACACACACACACACACAGACACATACATA